CCTGACCAAAAGGGAAAAAAATGTAAGTATGTGCCACCAGTGGCCTGGCTAACACTGTCTTCCATCTAGTACCCCTAGTACACCAGGGGTACGTACTTCTGTGTTCTCAGCCACAACTCATTCACTACAGCTTCCAGGCTGTAAAAAGTCATTCAACTGAGTCACATAAGAAGCATATGGAGGCAGTAACACAAATGCATCTTGCCATAAAGAATAAAACTCCCTTTAGGTAACAGCTGGGAACGGCATCACAAATCTCCTGTTAGCCCTGTACAAAAGCACCCTTTATCAGCTCTAAGACACACAGATTATATGAGTAGTCACATTTTACACTAAGAAACCAACTCAGTTATGACACAACACTATTTTTAATTACAGACTATTTTATAGATGTTAAAATGTGAACACAAAATTTGTGCATTTAACCTGACATGGCATAAAGCACACATGCACAATCTCACTGGGACTGGAAGCCTCGTCTCTACCCAAGCTCTGATGGAATTCTCTATCAGAAAAGAAAGATCAGAATATGTTAACCTAAGATGGCTGATGATGTGAGGAGAAAACACTTCTCTCACATCTCTGGGTTCAGTTCATTGCTCCAAGTAGACATCATGATGAAAACAGAGATACACTTTAACCTATCACCCTAAAGGTATGGGACAAAGTTGAGCCAAAGGCATCCTCCAGGAAGAAAAAAGATCCTTCCAGAGATTAGAGAGTTGGCTCAGTGGTCAGGAGCACTTATATCTTCAGTGGAAGACCCAGGTTCAGGTCCCAGGATCTTCTGCAAGGAATTTTGCAACCATCTGTAACTCCAGTTCCAGGAGATAGGAGGTCCATTTCTGTCCTCCACAGGCTCCAGGCATGCAAATGATACAGAGATATACTTGCAGGCAAAAGGCGCATACACATAAAATAAAAATACATTTTTTTTCAAACTAAAGCAAAAGACATCAGTCATAAGTCAAATAGTATGCATCACAAAATACATTAGTAAAGTCAAGAGTGTCAGTCAGTGGTGGCACACGCCTTTGATGCCAGCACTGCAGGCAAATCTCTTTGAGTTTGAGACCAACCTGGTCTATACAGTGAGTTCCAGGACAGGTAGGGCTACAGAGAAACCCTGTCTCAAAAAAACAAACAACCAAACCAACAAGCAAAATGAAGTCAAGAGACAAAATTACAAAAATTGTAAAACTACTTACAACACACTTAATAAAAAGTATCAATAGACATTTTTTCTAAGAAAACGAGATGATAACCTAAGATGGGAAAATAGCATGAGAATTCATTTTAGAAGGATATAAATGCTCATTTAACATTAACATTATCTTGGGCTTAGGAGACGGCTCAGTGCATCAAAATTCTTGCCATTTGAGTGTGAAGACCTGAGTTCAAATCCTCAGAACCCACTAGAGCCAGACCCACAGCACAGGCATCTGTAATTCCAGCCTCAACGAGGAGATGGAAGGCACAGACAAGAGACTGTCCAGAAGGTCATGGACCAGATAACTCACCCTACACACGAGAACAGCAACAGAAACTGTCTCAAACAAGGTGAAACCAAGGACTGACACAAGTTGCTCTCTGACTTCTACACATGTGGCATGACACTGGCATAGCCATATTTACACATACAAATACACACAGACACAGATCTCATACACATAGCTACCTACAAGGGGATATTTCCAGAATCTTGCTTTTGTGACCAAACTTTAATGTACATTTTCTTTTTCAAAAGTTTTTTTTTAATTATGAGTGAATATAGCCACTGGGTCCCAGGCCTTAGTAGAGCTGGAGTCACAGGTGGTTGTGACCTATGCAATGCGGGCGCTAAGGAACGAACTCACATCCTTTACAAGAGCCTTTACAAGAACCGTCTCTCCAGCCGCAGCAGACAGGATCTTTGGATAGACCTTAGAGGATGCAATAAGGCTGTAAGCAATTAAGCACTGAAGGTCCTCATTCAAAAACCTGGGCTCTGGCAGTTGTGCAATCTTAAACTGCTCCCATTTCTTTACTAATGAAACAAGGTAGGTGTGAGAAGGGAGTGACCGTAACCGCCCATGGGAAACCTGACATCTCCCAGATGAGGACTCCGCCCTCCTCTAGATGCCAGCTCCTTCAAAAGGCCATTCTGCGCACTTCCAGAGTGCTCTTATTATCCTTTGCTTGTGGCTTCAAACTTCAGCCTTTATTTGCATGAAAACAATCACGTATTGTGAAACTATAAAGTGAGACTCGGCTTAAGTCACACTAAAATTCATGACTACAAGAACTAAGTGTGAGTGCCCTGGGAGTTAAGAAACTGCACCCACTAGCTTACACGCTAACTTCCCTTACAAGACTGGGAACAGCCAGGACGCAACAGGTTGTTTCAGACCCTTTCCAAGTGCGCTGCTCTGACTACAAAGGGCACGAAGAAGCACTGGAGGAGGGGGGCAAACAGCCGTAGACACAAATGATGGCAACCTCTTGCGACCCGTGGTACCGACAGCAGCTTGGACAAACCAGGGTGGGCAGAGGACAGCAACTATCTAAGATACAGGAAGCACCCGCTACCTAGTGGACTCACGCAGCCCCCTTACCAAAGAGCTGGGCCCGGCACCCAGGAACCCGGGGCGCGCACGGGTCTGCGGGTGCAGCGCCAGGATCGACGACCAGGCAGGGAGCCAGCGTGCACAGTCGCCCGGTGCAGGAGACTCGAAGGCGGCTCCTGATCCCGCAGTAGCCCGCCCGGCCGTGAGGCTACAGGCACCGAAGCGCACTCCAGCAACCAGCTACCCCTATTTCCAACCAGCGAGCACCTTCCCGGTACAACCTAGCCCGCGAACCCCACCACTCGATGAGCAGCCGCCTCCTCCAATCACCGCCGCCTCTTGATAGGCCTGCTGGCTGGGCGGATCGACAGGGCGGAAGGCCCGCCTCCCACATGGTCGGTTGAGAGGTCGCCCGCAGTTGCTAGAGCGCGGCTGTTCGAAGAGGGCGCCAGGGGCGGCGGGAAGCTTCTCGTAGTCCCCATTGGAGAAGTCGTAAGCCAATCACAAAAGCCTTCTGAGAGGGCGGGCTTTCGGTTGCCTAGATACGGCGAGCGGGTTTTCTTTCTGAGCAGAGTACGCTAACACACTGCGTTTTCCCCCCATAAACTCTTAGATGTTTCCTCCCACTACCAGCTTTAGTGGTTGTTAAATTTGGCCTTATCTTCAGACCTGAATTGTTTAAATTTGTGTTTCTTTTCTGATAAGACTGCACGTGCTCTCAGGTACCATCCTCTTCACTACATACTTAAATTCCTTTGTATGTTGGCTATCGTTAAGTCCCATTATATCATTGAATTAGGAGGTCACAACCACATTGAATAAATCTCATTTTTGCTTTCCACTTTTAATTTGTCTCTCTTGATTGGCTTACTGAGGAGGGTGGCTGGACCCGGCTTGGCCACAGGTTGTAGCCTTGAGTTCTGTAGCAATTACTGTCTCTGACTTCTTTGGTAAGAAGGATCCCAATGAATACCAAGATCTTGATGACGTACATTATCACATCCTTTTAAACCTTTCCCACGTATACCATGTGGAGTAAGTACTTGTCCAAGGCTCTTCCAAATCTAGATAGTTTTGCTCTGCCGACTGCCATCCGATCCTTGTCATGCTGGGGATCTGACTCAGAATGAGAACTTGATCCCGAGACACATTGAAATCCCAAGGCTGGATTTCCAACGTTCCAGGATTGATTTTGTTTCACCTGTATTGCCCTCGGTACACCCGTCACTTAGTGGAGCTGGATTTTGCTGCCACCACACACAGTGTGCATACTGGATGTCTTTTCTGCTGTAGTCAGTTCCTATATGCTGTTTCACTGGTACAACGTATTGAGGTATTTACTTGAACATTTATCATCATGCTTCATGGCCCATGCTAGGCACTCAACTGTTGACTTTTGGTGAATAAATGGAAGGAATAGGCAAATAAAGGAAGATAATGGGTCCAGAAAAGATTACAAATGGCATTAATTAAACAGCATTTGTTGAAGGTGAGACAAGGTAATCTGCCAATGAGAATGGGGCTTGAGCATGCTTCCTTACCAAACTATGTCTAGTGTCCCATGCTGAGGTGCACAGTGGAATACTGTATAGTGAAAATGGTAAGATGTGAGAGGAATAATTTGCTCTTTGTTGAGATATGTACTTTTCCTTCCAGAATTTCTGTCCCCTAGCATTCTCAATCTAGAGCTTTCGGGACGTTCTGTTGAGTGTACCTGTCTTTGTGAACCCTTTTCTTCTCATCTGTTGCTTTTGGATGCTGGCCAGAGCCCACATATGTTTTCCCTGGGACTTTGAGCTTTTTCTCTTTTTCTCAAGCTCCCCTCCCTACCATCTGGCTGCTGGTCCATCATGTGGTTGGCCTGTCCTCCAGTTTAACTGGAGCTTTTTCTCCTCCTCTAGGCAACTACCGAAATTTACAGCTTGCCTCCGCTGGGGGTTTTCTTTCAACGCTCATACAATTGTCCTCAAGCTTCTGTTGAGTTCATTCTTCGATTCAATTACTAAGGAGATTAAGAACACCAGGAGGGGGCCCTGCTTTCCCTGGAATCACTCTGCTGTGCCATGAGAAACCCACCTTTAAAGAAAACCTCAACAAGCTCCCTCACTCTGTCTTCAAGTAACTTCAGTCAGTGAAGAATCCTAGCAGACAAGAGACAGAGCAGGAGAAAATCAGGTTCTTACTGCTCGTGGCCAATCTCCTCTTCTGCATCACCAGGTTCAGTTGGGACCCCCAGTCCAAGACCGTCCACAGCTCCTACATGCAGCCATATGGCTCAAGCACCTGCATTTTACTTGTGGTTTCTCTATACTTTAACCATACCTTAAGTTCCCTTTGTTAATCTCTCCTCAAACTACCCAGTTTGAGTGAGCCATCTGTTTCCTGCCAAGACAATGATCCACCACACATACGATAAAATTTCCAAGTCCCAAATACCACACATGTGTTCTCAGCTGTCACAAAGCAATAATCATTTATTTTTTAGGAAAGTCATTTACAGATATATTTATAGGCAAATGAACCCCCATTTTAAAATAGAGATTGAGAATATGAAATTAAAATAGCATGCAGACATCTCTTGCATCTTTTGGGTGTGTGTGAACAGGGTCCTTAGTATCTGAAAGTGCAGTATTTGCTCTCCTAGCTACACCACTCCAGTCCAGTGGGGACTACCCACATGTGCTGCTCACACAAACAGTGCGCCCTGCATCTGGGACTCCTGATCACCAAGTCTGTGTTCATGAGCTGGAATGAGACCACAGTCCTGCCCTGTCTCTGATGCAGGTTGCCTGCCTACAAGTTCCTATCACTACACTGATCCCTTTTATGAAGAAAAATGATTAAGACCTAAGATATATGGAAGAAACAATGAAATATCCATTATTTTCTAGCTGTGGAAAGGAAACCTATGTAAGAAGCCAATGGCAGCAGAAATAAAACGGTGAGCTTTACATAAAAAAGTCAGACTTCGATGTACTTCATTTCTGATGATATCTGTCCAAAAGAACTACCCCATATTGTAGCTAAAACGTACAAATATAATCACAAAGGTTAGGTTGTATCTACTTAGCCAAAATGAAATAGTATTGAGATAACTATCCAGAAAACTCAAGATCAATCTCTCTCTCTCTCTCTCTCTCTCTCTCTCTCTCTCTCTCTCTCTCTCTCTCTCTCTCTCTCTCTCTCCTTCCTCCCTCCTTCACTAATGGCAATGTCTTTGTTTGCAAGTGCAAATAAGAACTGACTGAAGCATTTCTGCTATTACTAAAAGCAATCGATCCATTTCTATCAGCAGTACTTGCTGTATACTGAAACACTTGGGGTCAAACTATGTGAGTGATTTGCTTAAACCCTTTATCAGTAGAGGATGGACACAGAATAAAGGGAAGCCCTAAATGTTTACCCTTAACTACACTGCTTATCAGTATTAACTTCTAACAAAGGAAAAACTATGCTAGGATGGCAACGGACCTTGGAATGCACCTCTGAGCTCCCTCACATACAAGAAAACTGGATCTAGACAGGTTTAGCAACCTGCCAAGAGCCCCAGTGATGAATAGTCTGAGCTTGGAACTTCTCTAAAAGTCTTAATTTCATCACCAGTTTAACCACTATGCTGTGTGTGGTAGGCCTTTCCAAACCCTTCACCCCATGTGTTTCCTCACTCTACATTTTGTCTGATCACATGTAGAGAGAGAGATAGGACACATATAAAGGTGACACCAGGATTCAGTGGCAGCCAATCCAAAGGAAAGTTTCCTATACTTTAAATTGCTTTCTGTACTCTGAATAAGAATGGAACCCTTGTGGACTGAGCATGAAGAACACTGGTTTTGTTTGCCATCTTTTATATACGTGTACACAAAAATCAAAAATAACCAAGGGATTTGGCCTCATGAGTTTGTCTCATGCTGCATATGAATAGTTCAGTTAGCAAAGATTGAGAAACACTGGCCAGTGAATTGGGGCCACACCTTTTAATTCACAAATGAGACAGAATGATGATGTCACCAGTGACTTTTGCTTCCATTCCACAAGCATAGACACAGTCTGAATTTGATGTCAGTGTCATATTGAGTATGGCAGCAAACAGTGCTACTAAACAGAAAGTGGAATAAAGTTAACACTGTTTGTCAAATTACTTCTTACTTTTTTAGCAAGGAAAAACTTTTTTGGCAACTGGTTCTATAGCTATAGAACAGAAAAACACTTGAAACTAACTTCCCCCATAAGAAAATGTTCCCAGATTATCGAGTTGAAGGCACATACCACTGCCTGAGCAGTTTAAGTTGTCTTTAACATATGAAATTGTAACTGTGCTTTTAGCTTTTATTCAATGCAATGTGACCTCTAAAAAGTGACCTCTGTGCATATGGATAACTCCTTTTCAAATGGATCAAAATTATTCTTCTCTGATTTTCATATTCAGAGGGTATTTTATTAGTTCTCTGTTTCATAAAAGACATAGTCCTTGGTGGTCTCAGAAAGACATGGTTCACAGCTTGTGTTCTGTTTTGTCTGGAGAAAAAGTTGGAATTGCATTGTTTCTGACACAATAAGGATAGTCTTGTGGAATCACTGCCACTATGCCTGGAGTTGTCATTTCTTGGAATGCAGAAGTCCTGTATTATTGTCTTTTCTTACTGGTTGTTTAAGGCTTACTTCACTTCCAGAAGAGATGATTGGCAAACTATTATCCATATGGTATTTGATAAGGTGCCCAACATTATCAAACACATGGTCCTTGGTCCTCACCTGGAAAAGGAAGCACAAATACATTTGAGTTGAACACTAGTAGTTCTTCTGAAAGATGTAGACAACTGCACATGTGTGGTGGGGGTATCCCTAGAGTAGGTATTTTGCAGAGTAAAGAAAGGCTGGTTTTTAGTTCTATCCGCCTTAATAAACAAGTTTATCACTCCCCATTACCCTTTTACAGTAGTTTTCCTAGAAGTTCAGAAAATGGCAAGCACTTGTCATTTAACCCAAATCTACAATCCGCCTCTCTGCATGTCACCACTTCTATAAATATCTAGGTGTTTTGTACAGGCACATTACCAGGATGACAGTTATCTTCCAGAGAATGGAGTGCTTCCACATTACCCCATCTCTAACGAAAGCTGGCCCCTTGGAGAAGCCCTGCCTCTCCCTAGAGTCTCAACACAAACCCTGTCTCCTCCAAGAAGGTTCCTGCCTCCCAAGTTCTGGGATTAAAGACTAGTTCCATATCACCTGGCTTCTGGCAATCTCAAACAAATAAATAGTTAATTAGGCCATTGTTACAGAAGCACTCCCCTGAGCTTTCTCCTGGGGGTTTCGCAGTTTCACATCTTACAGTTGAATCTTTGGCCCATTTTGAGTTAACTTGTTTTTATTAGTAGTGTAAGAGTCCAGTTCCATCCTTCTTCACCAGTGTATTCAGTGTTCTATCAGCACTTGGAAAGCATCCTTGCTTCAGTGTTTGCCTTGAGAAGATTTAGTGATCTTCTTAAAGATCACTTGACTGCACACATGAATTTATTCCTGGGTCCATTATACTGTCCATTGGTCTAGTTGTCTGACTTTATGTTAGCACTACTGTTTTGATTAATGTAGTGCTGTTGTGTGTTTTTTGTTTGTTTGTTTTTCGAGACAGGGTTTCTCTGTATTATCTTGGAAGCTGTCCTGGAACTCGCTTTGTAGACCAGGCTGGCCTCGAACTCACAGAGATCCACCTGCCTCTGCCTCCCGAGTGCTGGGATTAAAGGCGTGAGCCACCAACGCTCAGCTCCTGTGTTTTGAGGTCTTCAGCTTTATTATTCTTCCAAAATAAAGTGTTTGGTTATTGAGACTTCTTTTGTCAGTTGACTGCCATGAGGAGTTTTATAAGAATTGTAATTTCGAGTGTAGGTTGCTTTGAGTGGTGTGAACATTTTAATAATGCCTAGCCATCTAACCCATGAAGGAGACATCTTTCCGTCTATGTGCATCTTCTTTAGTTCCTTTCATCAGTGTTTTATAGTTAGCCCTGCAGAAATACTTCGTTGCTATTTTATTGTCTTTTGGTTTTTGAGATAGGGTTTGAGGCAGCCCTACCTGTCCTGGAACGCACTCTGTAGACCAGGCTGGCCTCAAAGTCTCAGAGATCCACCTGCCTCTGCCTCCCCAGGAATTAAAGGTGTGCACCACTCACTCCTGGCTGTATTTCTTCTTCTTGGTTGAGTTTATTCCTAAGTACCTTTTTACTGTTGGTGCCATGAATGTAACTGTTTTCTTCATTTCCTTCTGGATAATTGTTATTTGTGTGTAGGAACTCAGCTAATTTTGCATTTAAAAATGCTGTCTGCTGTGACTTCTTCCTCTGTAGCATTTACTATATCCTTTCTACTACTATTTTTGTAATTTTATTACTATTAATTTCTTTCTGTTTTCTTGTGTGTGTGTGTGTTTCCATCATGAAAGGGTATGAAATTCTGTCAAATGCCTTTTCTTTTCTTTTTTTTTTTTTTGGTTTTTACGAGACAGGGTTTCTCTGTATTGTTTCGGAGGCTGTCGGTGTCAAATGCCTTTTCTACATTCACGGAAATGATCAGGAAATTTGTATTCTTCTTCCCATTTCTGATGGCTAATCTTGTTGTCAACTTGACCACATCTGGAATCAGCTAAAACCCAAACAGATGAGTACACCTTTGAGGGATTTTTTGACTGGGTTGTTTGAGATGAGAAGACCCACTCTATATGGCCTTGGTGTCCAGTAACACTCACCTCAAAAGATAAGTTCAACTTTCCCTTTCAGCATGAGATTTAGAAAGGGCCAGGGCTCATTCTCTAGACACCAGACATCATTCGCTAGCAAAGTCACTTGGCCCAGAACCTTTCTCTGGTAGGGGAGTTTTAATTACTTAGTCCACCTGCCTAGCAATTTTATAATGTTTAGATTCCCCATTTCCTTGTGATTCAATCCTGGAGTATGATGTGGTTTTAGACACCTGTCCATTTCTTCTAGTTTATTGTTGGCATATTGTTGCATATAGAACTTTTTATAATCTTAATTACACGATACAATTATAGTGCATTTCCTATTTTATTTGTATCTTAGCTAAAAGTTTGTCAGTTTTCTTAATGCTTAAGAAAGCCAAAATGCTTAGTATCATTTAAAAAAATGTGTTCTATTCTTTATGTCACTCAACTCTGCATTGCTGTGGCTATGGTCTTACTCACCTGCAGGAGTCTGTTACAACTACAGGTTTGTACCACTGAACAGAAACGGGCAGAAAGAAGCTGTCCTCCGTGTCATGCTCCAGGGTGGCTTCAAGTTCTAATCACAGCACTAGTTTTGGCCGTATGGCTCAAGGAAAAGTAAGCACTTAGCCTTGATCTCTACTGACTACCACGTGTAGATACGAAGTGTGACATCTAACACAGTCATACCTTGCCTTCAGGATCCACCAAGAGGAGGTGCTTCGCCTGGCCACCTTGTAGTCCACTCAACACATACTGACCAGGAGATGTCATACTCTCTCGAACCAAAAAGTCCCCATCCTTTACCAAAAGTCTCTCTGCTGCCCCCCTGCTCAGCTTGCCGTGGAAGCATTCTTCATTCCATAGTTGCTGCTTAATGTGTGGCAAAGACAGTGAGCTCACAGACTGGGCCGTGGCTCCTGGCTGTATAGTTTCTGGTGCCTCTAAAATTAAAAGACAAAACAGAGCTATCACAAATCCTGAGTCCACTCGTTCTTCCTTCTGTGTTCAAGGCACTGTTTAAACAACTGTAGAACAAATGTCCTGCCGGGAGGCTCTAAGTTAGAGGTGAGTTTAATCAATGCCATTGGTTCTGTCACTAGGAAAGGTTACCAGGCACAAGAGTGTCTCCTTCAGCGGGAAGTGGAATCAGCCCCTGGGAACTGCTTCCACAACTGTGGACAGGGACTCTTCTTTACCAGGGTAGCTTCATGTTAAAAATGAAAAAGCTTATGTTCAACCTGGCTCATGAATAACTTCTACGATGTTTCTAATTTTTTTAAACTACAACAGAAATTTTAAATTATGCCCCTCTATAACATTTAACTTTTATCATTTTTCTTTTTAATCTTGTTTTTTGTTGTTATTTGTTTTTGTTTTTGTTTCTCAAGACAGGATTTCTCTGTGTAACAGTTCTTGTAGAACTTGCTTTGTAAACCAGTCTGGCCTCGAACTCACAGGGATCAGCCTGCCACTGCCTCCCAAGTGCTGGGATTAAAGGTGTGAACCACCACTGCCCAGCTAATTTTCATTTCTATGCTAGTTTGTAAGTTGTTTAGTTTATAAATTTACTGCACCTAGACAATTCCTCTTAGCAAGCTTTTTAGTTTGACATTGTTAAATGGTCCTACTGTGGTCGGTATCATTTACCTGTCTGAACTACAGATGGGACTAAAAAAACAAAGCACAGTGTTAATGGAGTTCAGCCTACAGCAGCTTCCCAGGGTCCTAAAGATAGTGTTGCTCCAAGCCAGGAGCATTGGGAATGAGAACACAGGTGCACCAGGTGAACACAAGTGCATCAGGAGAACAGAGATGCATCAGGTGAACACAGATGTATCAGGAGAACACAGGTGCACCAGGAAAACACAGGTGCATCAGGAGAACACAGATGCATCAGGAGAACACAGGTGCATAAGAAGAACACAGGTGCATCAGGAGAACACAGATGCATCAGGAGAACACAGGTGCATAAGAAGAACACAGGTGCATCAGGAGAACACAGGTGCATAAGAAGAACACAGGTGCATCAGGAGAACACAGGTGGACCAGGAGAACACAGGTGCATCAGGAGAACACAGGTGTACTAGATGAACACAGGTGCATCAGGAGAACACAGGTGCAAGAGGAGAAAACAGGTGTACTAGATGAACACAGGTGCATCAGGAGAACACAGGTGCAAGAGGAGAACACAGGTGCATCAGGAAAACACAGGTGCATCAGGAGAACACCGCATTGTTGAGGCTCATGGTGGTAATGATTATTGTACTATTCTCATTTATTGTAACAAGCACTTGTTAAGGGCTTTACATAATGTTATTTTATTTTCATTATTTTAATTAGACAGGTCCCCAAATTGGATTTTGAGAATGGCTGCTACTTATTCAAATCCACAGTGTTAATGTTATAGATCTGGGATTTGAAACAAGGACCATCTGACTCCAAAGCTTGGGATTTTTAGTCAACAAACTCCAAGACACTGGCATTGGATGTAAAGATCTTTCATTTTCCAAATCTGACTAGCTGCCCTATCTCTTTGGTACCCATAAAGGTCCCTAGGAAATAGCGATGTTGTCTGGACAACATTGTACAACATTTAGACATAGACACATTTAGGAACCTGAGTCAGGAAGATTGTTGAGAGTTTAAGGCTAGCTTGGGCTACACAGCAAGTTTAAGACAAGCCTATTCAACTCAATGAGACCTTGCCTCAAAGTAAAGTAGTTGGCTCAGAGATTAAGAACACTTGCTTCCCTTACAGAGAACCCTGAGTTCAGTTCCTATGACCCACAGGCTGGCTCACAACTCCCTGTAACTCTAATTCCAAGTGATCTGGCTCCCTCTTCTGGCAACCATGGGCACTACATACATGTGCTGTACTTAAGTGGGGGTGTTTAAGTAAACATACTCATATCATAAATACATAATTGAAATAAATACTTTTAAATCTACAAAACAATGGTTGACTATATCATTTTCTACGACCAAACTTTGGTAAAAGTCATATATTTAATGGCAAATGAACACAGAAAATAAATCACAGAAACCAGCATTGTGTCTGATATGCAAAGGATCTTTTGCATAGAAACCACTCTTCATTTTGCTAACACAAAGGAGCAGTTACAGGCCCTTATGGAAGGGTCTCACCAAAAGAAGTGCACTGGACTCAAACTGTGCAACTGATACTCCACCATGCTGTGGTATCATTGCTGTTGACAACCTACAGAACCCTATAGCTGCCCAAGTCCCTTGCCAGTGTGTTGGAGTGCTGCTCTACTTAAGAATGTCTATTTGCATATGACAGTTACAGTTAGCACCACAAACATATCTTGTAAAAAATCTTCAGTCTAAACCTAATGACTGGAAAGAATGTTCCCCCACAAATCATCATCTCTCCCATTGTTGCCAGAAAAGGCCTGAGGAAATGTGTCCAGACAGTGACTAATACTTATAGTTGGCCTTGGTGCTGCCTGTTCTTGGACACAATGGGAAACTTCTAATGAGCAGTCCTGTGTGTGTTTGTGTTACAGAAAGGCTCCACATGAGTGCAGAGCAATGCATGCAGGCATGCATCATGTCAGGGACATACTCCACACAAGTGTGGGACAATGCACACAGGCATGCATCCTGAGGGTGCAGGCAGCTTAGCGTGGTGTACACTTTTGGCTTGTTCTGAGATTACGGACCACTTGTGGACAAGGACAAACCAAAGGAAAATAGACATTATATCATCTTGAAAAGAGTCAACAGTTCATGGGCCAGCCTGGGGATGCAGACAGTGTTTTCTAACATAGGTTCCCAGATTAGGACAAGGACAAGACACAGCTTGCTGAACAATTCCAAGTATTCTCTTAGCATCAAATTCTATTAGAAGAAAACTTTGTAATAGATTTTCCAATTCATTTTAACTTTAAAAGTCATATTTGGAGGCTGGAGAGATGGCTCGGTGATTAAGAGCATTGGCTGCTCTTCCAGAAGACCTGAGTTCAATTCCCAGCACCCACATGGCAGCTCACAACTGTCTGTAATTCCAGTTCCAGGGAATCCAACATCCTTATATAGACACACATATAGGCAAACACCAATGCAAATAAATCATTTTTCACAATATTATATATGTTACTTTGTTTTATTTTTGGAAACAAAAACAAAGAAAAAGTCAGCCTTGGTCTCATCACCAACTATCATGACTCAACGCTGTGGTGCATTACTTGTCACCTTGCTCCTAGGTGACAACTGATGCTGGTAAGTGATCTGTGTGTTTATGATATGCAGCACACAGTACACAAGCTCGTTCATTCTGAAACAGAAGGGCAGGTGCAGAGGGAGCGCTCATTTTTAACGATGGACAAGAGGGGTAGGTAGTAGGTACTCAGCAATTCATCAGCATGGAAAGTAATCAGGAAACTGTTGGCATCTGCAGTGTTGGGTACCGTATCAGGGCTTGGAAGGAGGGTTTTTCATTTCTCAGTTACCCTGTTTTTATTATTTGCATTCCACCAGTGTCTCCATTGCTTTTCAATTTTAAAAATGTCTAATGAAGTGCATGCAAAAGTCAGGACAGTCTTGCAACTCAGGATACAACTGGAAAGTGCAAACTTTGAGGAGACTATCAAGTTTGAGGGGAAATTTCCACTTTCTGAAACTCAGCCTACCGTCCCCCAGCACATGGCCTCGTGTCCTGTGGCAGGCAGAGAACTGAGAGTGTGGTCAGTTCTGGCCATTGGCAGTCACTGTGCTTCAGTAAGATGCTGTGATGTTGGAGCAGTGAAAACAAACCATCACTTCTGCAGGAAACTCCAGGACTCCTTTCCAACAAGCCTCGGGCCACAGCAGTCTCTTCAGTTAACCCACAGTCTTCTTTTATGTGGGTTTTGGATTAAAGATGCTGGGTGTAACACATTTTGTTAACAGTGAACTCACGGCCAATGGCACTATAATTCCTACTTGATTGATGTTTTTATAAACCTGTCTTTTCTCATGAGGGCATTTCACAGTTTTCTTTCACTTAGAAAAACTACACATCACTTTAGTACCAATGCTTAGGGACTATTTTAAACAGCAAAATCATCAAAAAAGTGAAAAAAATGGCATTAAGTGTACCATAAAAGGATACTTAAGGTTTCTGTTTGTTTGTTTGTCTTCATCTTGTGAGACAATTTGACTGGGTAGCCCAGGCTGTCCCCAAACTCACTATGTAACCCAGTGTGGTCTTGAACTCTTGTGATCCCTTGGCTCAGCCTCCCAAGTATTGGAGCTGTAGGTATGCACCACTACACTTGGCTTAAACAAGTGCTTAGAGCATTAAAAACAAAAATGAGGTAGCGCCTTCCCTTGCTGATGTCATCAGGGATGTGTAAGTTAGAAGACTGATAGTCTTTGTGGGTCAGCGGGCAGCTACAGATCACAACCAAAGACTGTGAGTACTGATTTGTGGGTAAGACTAAATCTTGCTGAGCAAGCACATCTCAACTGTAAACCTATGAATACCGAGAACAGACACAAGATTGTATGATGAGAATTTACCTGCATTGCTGAAAGTAAACATTCACCTCTGTAAAGTACCTGGAAATTTGTTAGAAAATTCTGACAAAAAAAATTGTTAAGTGTAGATGAGAAGTTAAGAAAGTACCCCAAGACCAAGCATGGTGGTCAAAGCTTTAATCCCAGCACTCAGGAGGCAGAGGCAAGTGGATCTCTGAGTCTACGTAGTGAGACCTTGTATAATAATAATAATAATAATAATAATAATAATAATACCAAGAGAAAAATTATTTGCAATATAAAGGAAGAATCATGTGCCTGTTAAGAAAATTACAAGTTGGGCGTGGTGGTGCACATCTTTAATCCCAGCACGTGGGAGGCAGAGGCAGGCAGATGTCTGTAGGTTCAAGGCCAGCCTGATCTACAGAGTCAGCTAATTCCAGAATAGCCAAGGCTACAC